CTCTGGAGAACCCAGATCGGGTTCTCCACCGAGAGAGAGAAAAAAAAAAAAGAAAAAAGAAAAAAGTGAGGAAAAAAAGAAGAATGATCGGTGTGTACTTGACGGATTCCGTTAATATACTTAACGGATTCCGTTAGTGTGTGGATAGTGTGTAACGGTAGAGGGTAAGCCTATCATTGTCCTTATTAAATATATTAAAAGAAAATTATTATGTTAAAAATTAAAGAGAGAAAAGAGGAGCAATACTGACTGTCATATAAAAACCGATCCCAAAATGAAAGATTACTTCTTCTGAAGAATGGGGGTAGTGTTTGAGCCAGTGTTAAAATGAGTGAACCGGGACCCAAAGAATAATTGGGAGATGCCATCTCTGGAAAATGGTGGAGTAAATCGAATGCAATATCTGGTACCAAAGTTTGTTAGAGAAAATAAAGTAACTACATATTGTAACATAATATGGAATCGCAAACAATTAGGATGGTTTAATAATTAAAATGTTAGGAGTAATAATAAAAAAACTTAAATACCATTAATGACTTAATATTTAAAGAACAATTATTAAGCGTATTTGAATAATTTTATTGATAATTTTAATATTTTAAATATCAAAATATTCTAATTTTATATGATATAGTAAGTAGAGGAAGAATAATTAAAGTTGGAGTTCTTACCAAACATTTTCTTAGTTATACACTCTTAGAGGATGTAGAAGCGATTGTCTACATTTAGAGACTGTAGAGGAGTTCGACGGTACAGATAGCGTGTCATGTCCTCCTTATTTGTTCTGCAGGCCAATTGAACTGGGATGTTTCCATTGTTGTCTGGGATGGTAAGCAAATTTTTGTTCGTTCTAACTAGTTTTTGTGCAATTGATTTCCCGACTCCAAAACGAGCAGCAATGGTAAGAGCCGTGCTCCCAGAATCATCTTTTATTTCCAAGTCATTTTTTGACAACTTGGAATTTATCAAGTAATCAACAATTTCTTCTTTCTTATTATAAACTGCAAAATGAAGAACTGTGTACCCTTGTTCAAATATTCTTGCAGATCTTGCATTCGAATTTTCTTTAAAGAACTTCTTTACGTTCGAGAGCTTCCCATTGGAAATGGCATTAGTTAAGGTCTCATATTGCGAACTTGAAAGATTTCCGGGCCCTGCATGCCAATGACAATTGTATCCCATATAAAAACAACACTCTCACCAATTCTTCTTTGTATAAAGATTAAAATAAACATTACAGATAAATTTGTTAACCATCAAATCTGAACCAATACCTTAAAAAACTCAAAACGTGCTGTAGTCTCTCCAATTAACTAATGCGTAAAAGAAAAAGAAATTAAAACAGAGATGGAATAGAATAAAACTTGTTCGACTTTCTAGGGAGTGCACAACAATTTCCTGAGGTTCGTGCATATCAGCCAATGCATCCCAAACATCTTTAGCCGATTTCATCTCCTTTATTTGATCAAAGATTTCTTTTCCACACGAAATCATAATGGCATGCAGGGCTAATGCATTTTTTTTCATCCACTTACTCCTCATATTTCCTCTAGCACGCACCTGGTTTGATTGAACAACATCCCAAAGATCTTGACCCAATAAATAATATCGCATTAATATACTCCACCTTTTGTAGTTATCACTTTTAAGAACTTCAGGTACAATCACATTTGCATGTGAAGCAACTCTCTCCATCTTCGCGCCTATGAAATATCACATAAAACTATTTCTGTTAGCGTCAGCATATAAACATGAGATAGATGAACCAAATTGACTATATATATAGACTTACGTGGGATTAACGAGATGAGTGTGCTTCCCCAAGCCGCGCGAGTAGTAATGAAACTTGAGAGCACACCGCTTGTTTAATTTTCAAAAACTCAAATGACAGTGATGTTATCATATCAATGCGGCTATATACATATAGTCATCAATAAGCTTTACTTAGATTTTCAATATTTACAGTGGTCTGATATACCTATGGTAAAAATCAAGATAAAATATATAGTAAAAGGTAGTGAAAAGAAAGAGTTTTTTTATTAATGAACTCTATTAAATTATCAATGACGCTATATATATAGTTATAAATCATCATTGAACCATATTAGATTATCATTCATGGTGGTCTGATATCTCTATAGTAAGAATCATGATAAAATTTTAAAAGTAATTAAAAGAAAAAAATTCTTTATCTTACAATTCAAATTGTATAAGATTACCAAACAAAATAATTGAAAAGATTTTCTGTCATTCAATAACTTTTTTATTATATAATTAATGTAATACAATTTAAAATAGACAATAATTTCTCCTAAACTAAATACAATAAAAGGGAAGAAAGGATAAAAAAAAGTAATAAAATACTGAGAGAGAATTTTGCTCTTTTTGTTTAGAAGAAAGAGACAGGAGTCTTGAAATTCAATAAAGAGAGGAAAACCAATTAAAAAAAAGGCAAGCCCTTGTGTTTGCCTTTATTTGCAGGTTGGCCCTAGTGATTTTTTCGTTTGCAAATTGAACCATTTGGTTTTCGACTTTGAAAATGAACCCAACTGGAGGATATAAGGTAGGAAATACCCTTTTTTTTTTTATCAGCATTAGTTAGGATATACTTACCTGACTCCGTTCGCCGTTTGCTTGCACACTTCTTTATTAAATCACTTTTTTTTTCTCAAAATTAAATTTTTTTTATTGTTTTGCAATTTAAACAATAATAAAAAGCTTTTTTTTTTTGTTTTTATTAGATAGAGAATAACTTTAATATTATGAGACTTGCCTCTAATTTAATATTCTTTTTGTTTATTTTTAATATATTTAGTTTGATTTTTTTATTTTTAAAATGAAAATTTAATAACTTATATGAATAACAATTGAAAATTTTTTTTCTACTTATATAAAGTTCTTATTGAGTACATTTATTTAATTAAAAGAAATTTTTAATTATTATTTATATAATATGTTAAATTTTCATTTTAAATTTATGTTCAAAAAATAAAAAAAAATAAAGTGGATCTATTAAAAATAAATGAATGGAGTAATTTAAATTATATAATTTGAACTTCATAATATTTTATTCAAAAGAAGTGTAAAATTATCTAAAATAAAATAAAATAAAAACTGTTGCAGTTTGCCAATAACGGTCATCGTGCTCCAGTGTCCGTTATAGGCGTATAGAGGATTTGATCGGAGCCCAGAAAATTTAAAATCACAAATATATGTAATTTCAGACCTGGAAAACACAGCCCATCCTTCAATTCTTAAAACTCAATTGTTAAGGACGACCAGGGGATAAGGTAGGCCAGCATCATTCAGGGAGGAGATCGAAGACACTATAGGAAGGCGTTGTAGTGGCCGATGCTGGTGCGGCCCAAAAATCCGAACATTCTAAAAACTAAATTCACTTAATCCTATAAAATCTAAAACCTAACCTTCTAAATAATTAACTCTAAACCCTAAAATATCTAGTAAATCTTAAACCCTAAATTGTCTAAATCATGAATTATAAATATTAATGGAGTAAGTAAATTAAATTATTGGACGATTTTGTTATTCTGTACTAAGGCATAAATTAAGATTGTTTTTATTATATTTTTTTGTCATTGATATATATATAAAATATAAAAGTGTATTAATTTTATCTATTATTTATTAATAAAAAATATCCACATAGCATGAGTACTAAAATTAATATCAGTTTTATTTTTTATTATATAAATTAAAATATAAAAAATACATTTATCATTACTAAATACATGGGCTACTCAAATAGATGATAATCATAGAAAAAAAGAAGGAGGAAGGATTCATACATATATATATAAATCTTATATATTACACTTACATATAAAATTTTGACCATTTATTTCTCTACTTTTAATTATTAAGATTTATCATGATTTTTTAAATGAAAAATATTTATTTTTAATAAACATGAATAAATCTCAATTTATAAAAAGTAGAGAGATGAATAGTTAAACTTTTGTAATTGTAGTATGTAAAATTTGTGTATGAATAGATCTCTTATAAACAAAAACCAAAATTGTGGGGCTGCATAAACTTAGCAAATGGGTAGGGTGGACTAAGATTGAATCACCTCAAGTCTTGGATCATTGAGTTAGATAAGTTTAGATTTTAGATTAAAGGAATGAACTCATAACTCACTTACACAAGTATTAAATTGGGTTAAGGGACCTAATATTTTAAAAAAATTTAAAATTAAAAAAAAATTCAATGTTTGTTCTGTTTTTTTAAAAAGATTTAATATTACTTATTAATTAATAAAAATAATCTATTAAATTAATCTTAAATCTAATAAATAATAACAATTTCAAACTTTAAATTTTATTTTTATTTAAAATTTTAAATTAAAAGTATATTTAATTAATATTTTAAAAGATTAGTAATTATTCACTTTACTTTTTAAAAATTAGAAAGAAAATTATTTTAAAATTACATTATTTTAATAAAAGATTATGAAAAAGGATTAAAATAATCTAATTCATATTTTAAAAATATGATATTTTAGTTTTTTTATTGAAATTTGTTGAAATAAATCAATTTTAAAGGTATATTTTTTTAATTTTTGAGAAATAAGGTAAATGAGCATTATTTTTATATTTTAATTAAACTTAAAAAATAAATTAATTTTAATCGAGTGGTCATTTCGATTTAACCAGCTATATCAGATTTGAGAAATTTCGATTTAGTTGATATTGGGTATCGGATTAGCACTTTAAACTCAAAATCCAGTCCATGGAAAATTAGTTAGATCGGATTTTTAAGTCGTACCCAATTTTACCGGTTTAATGCCAGGTCGACGTACTGGCCGTTAATTTCTAATATTTATTTCCTTTTTCGTCCTCTACGCCGGTGCAATTTCAGTTTGAGCAATGCTAAGGGCACTCGCCGGTAAGCGCTCTCTCCAATACTAGTCCCTCTCTCGCCGACACGCCGCAATATATCTAAACGCCCAAACGGGCAACTGACTTCTAAGTTCCAATGCATTTTTTTATCGTTTGTTTTAGTTTTATATTTTTTAAACCCTGTTTATTTTTTAAATTGTATTATATTATAAAATAAAAATTATTAGATAAAAAATATTTTGATATTAAAATTTATTTTTATTTAATAATTAATATTATATAATTTAATATAATTTACATTATATAATGATTTTTTTAATTTAAAACTCATTAAGAAAACAATAAATTCTTTCATACAATAGAATATGGAATACCATGTAATAAGAAGTATTTTTATCTATTAATATCATATCAATGTAACTTTCATTTTTTACAATTAAAATAATTAATAAATTGTAATAAATTAGTTTTTTTAATTACACATATAAGTTTGTCAATGGGATCAATTCATCCTTAAAAAAAGGGATAAATTATATGTCTAATAATATTATATGATATTATTTTTTTGTTAAAATAATATTTGTGTGTAAATTTTATCTACATTGGTGATGACATGGAACCTTACCCTAATTTTTCAATTGTGGTGCTTATGTGAAAACTACTTCTCTCATATTTAAACATAAAAATGAGTTTGATGAATAAGTTATTTTTTTTATTTAAAAATAATTGTTTTTTTAAAATTTTTTTAAATTAAAAATTTAAGAATAATTTATATATTTACTTTTATTACTCTTAAAATTTAATTTTGATTTAAAAATATGTTATTTTAGTTTTTTAATAAAATATTATTAAAAAAATCTATTATTAAGATATATTTTTTAATTTTTTAAAAATCTAACCGACGAACATATAAAATAAAATAAATAGAAAGATGTAATATTAAATAACCAGTTTATATATATTTTAATATATTTAAAAAATCTTTCAATACTCCATGATAAAAATTTGTGAAACTAATGGCATATTTGATGGAACTTCTTCGAACATTTACTCTTTTTTTTTAATTATTTATAAGTGATAAGTTTTAATTTTTATTGGTGAAAAAATTTAAAAATTGCTTTTAGATATAAGAAAAAGTGAGTAAAAAATAAGTAAAAATGAAGGTTACAAAACTTTTGAGTTTTTATTGTTGAAGATCTTTTCAAGGTTTAAAAAAAATTTAAAATATAAGTTTTTAAAAGGAAAATTTAAATTTATAAAATATAAATAATGTCAAAAAACTGATCTAAAATGGTTTCAATCAAATTTAATTTATTTGATTTAAAATATAATTAATTCTAGAATCAAAATAAAAAAAATTATACAAATATATGAAATAAAAAATAATTATTACAAAATATTTTATAAAAATTACAATAATTGTCACCATTCAACTTAAAATATTTAAAATACTTTTAAAAATCAAAGTATTTACAACTATAACAAAAAAAAAAAAAAAACTATTTACAAAATACACTATTTTTTTTTTCCTACCGAATCGTCATCACCAATTCACCAAAAGAAATAGTACAAAGTGAGGAAAAAGAAATTTAATGATAAAAGGATAACCGTTATTTCTCCATTACCGATTTACATCTATTTTCTCTCAATATTTATGCAACGTGTCAGCAGAGGCGAGTGTTGAAAAGAGTGCTTATGGGCGAGTGCCCATGGCACTGCTCTTTCAATTTTAGGAACCCCCTCCCTTGAATTTTTTGGTATTCCCTCTGTTTAATTCTTATAGATTTAACTTTTTATTAATAAAATAAAAATTTAATAATTAATTAATTAAATTTTATATTTATTTTTAATTATTAATCACTACTTAAATAGGAGTACATTTGAGATTATAGATGGGGTATTTTTTCTTATAGTCACACGATGCCTTTGCATATAAGTGTATTGGGTAGTTTTTTTTTTTTTTTTTTCAAAGTTGTAAGAAGTGAAAGTAGGTTTACAGTAATTTTAAGTATAAATTTAAAAGTCTTATTTTAGAGTTTTTTAATTGTATATCACCACAATTTATTATACAATTACAAAGTTATACATTAATACTTTATTTAATCAACATATAACTCTTTGTTTAGTTCATTATTGAAAATTCGAAAACTCATTTCTTTACCCTTCAAACCTTCTTCTATATA